AGTCCTTGAAAGATACCTGTCACGTGATCACGAGTTTTGCCGTTTTCTAGACCTTCTGTCAATTTTTATGATAACCAGAAATAAAATTCTTCCTACAATTGCAAAATAGCTGCTTACTGAGAAACCATTTTTTTTAAAAATAGTATAAATACAGAGTTTGTGAGAACGCGGGCATAAACGTGTTAAAGGAAATACTCGTCTATAGGAAGTCAGTCAATGCATACAGAAACTTACTAGCCAATACATTATAAAAAGTCTATTGAACAATAATATTCTCAGCAAGTAAACAATATTTGCACAAAGGTTTAACATGTTTTTAGGCAAAGCACTTTTTGCAAGCATAATAAAACAAAAAATTAACAGAATTACCACTTTCTTATCTGCAATGTTTCTGTCTTCTAACTCCTTTTGTTCTTCTGTCTTGATCTCACTGATTATCTGATCGATGGTGTTTAACTTCAACTGAGAAAGAACAGCATCCTTCCTCAGCCTCGCAGCCACTACCCCCAGATAGTCCAAAGAAGCAACCCTTAGTGACATGTCAATGCCTTTATTTACAAAGTTGCTGACCTAAAACAATAGGCACACAACCATGGTCATAATAACTTCAATTTCTTTAAAGTTAAACCACATTTTATTTTCTCTTAAAGCCCGTCAATAGGAATTCAGTCAATAAAATATTTGATTTTCATTAGCTACTTAATATAATAATTCTGTCCTGTAGTCTGGTGGTGAGACATGACAAAAAATGTAATCAAAGCTTTGTCTCATTTATCCTTGGATCATAATCCCATATTATAATTGTGTTGTGCATTCCGAAGTATATACGCTGTAATTCGTTGCTCTGTAGAAGATAGTTCGTACCTCATTTTTAAAGAAGTACCGTTTTGATTTGAACTTGATGGAACCGTCACAGTGGTCTGTGTGTGTGTTGACAAATTCTATACCCATAAGAAATTAAACAATACAAGTTGCTGAAATCATTTACAGTAGTTAACACTAGTCTGCAGTCGAGTCTTGTCAAGAACTCAACAGAATTCAACCCACATCACCCTAAAACAGTCCAACATCTTATGGTTAAAAAAAAAAGTGGAAATATACAAAAGACAAATATCAAGCCTATGATTAAAAACTGCAAACATACCAACAACTTTCCGAGTAAACTCAACAAAAGTTCTGTTGCTGGCCACTCAGGTTTGTTCACGGTAGTTAGAAGATCTTGAACAAAATTCTCAAACAAAGGCCTGTAGTCAATTTCTTCCGTCTTACTACCACATTTATTTAAAAATACCGAGAGGAAATTTGCGGCAGTTCTGTACGCAGTCTCATACTTGCTGATGATTAGAACGTCACGATCAACCTGGCATATGAGAAGAAACTGTATCAGCAACTAAACATAAAGTTACGTAAAACTTCAATTGGCATGCCACAGTTAATCACTATAAATATTCCTATATGCTAAGGTATTATATATATATATATTTACTTCTGATGACTCAACATGACCGTGTGCATACAAAATGGAAATATTCTGAGTTTCATGTAGTACCTCTGTAATTCCAACAACAATTTTATGAGGAATCAAATCAATAAAATCTTCTCGGGCAACAAGGCATGCCAGCTGTGGGCACAACTGACATAGCTTGTTGCCAGAGAAGATTTCATCAAGTTCAGTCTCCTTAAAACGTTTTCCCACTTCAACAAACATCTATGTGCCCCCATAAAGTTATCTCAAACACACATTTTATATATAACTATAATCTTGGAGAGAGAAAAGAAATCCAGAGACCACGCACATTCACCAATTTATCCTTGTTCTCTTCTTCATTTTCCTTCCCTTCATTCTGTGATTTCTCTGTCCCATCCGTCTGTAACTTCCCGGGCAAGACCACAACGCACTGAATAAGCTGAAGTACCAACGCTGTTAACATCTGAATGTACTCCTCTGAATTTAATCTGTAAGATCGGAGACTCCTCTTGCTACTTGGTAGTCTTGCTATTGATGCTAAGATGTCATCTAAAAGTAACCTCCGATGTTTCTCATATTTCGTAAATATCTGAAATAAAGAGAGTCCATAATAAGCAGGAACTGAGGTTCTCATGGCAGTGTGTACAAACATGGCCGTCTTCTGGGTTGTAGCGCCGTGTAGCCTGGCGGAGGTTACCGACATTTCAGATGTCCTTGCTGCCTCCGTCATCATCACTCTGGTAACGGAAGCAGCGGGCACTTCTGAGATGTCAGCAAATGAAACTTTACCAGACCACACTGCGCTACAACCCAGAAGACGGCCATCTTCAGAGTTCACAATTCATAAAACATCCAACATTCACTCCATATATCTCATTATGTGCATCACCGTGTGACAGATCAAAAATAACACTTTGACTCTCCTGATTTTAAAATGGATAAGACAATGTATGTTTTGTGATTCACTTTATCTTCATCTGCCATGCAGGACAATGTTTCTCATACCTGAGATACATATTAAAGTTTAAGAACAAAGTGACAACGTAGAGGTCACACAGCACCAAAATAAGAGACACAAAGAACAACAGGAGTGGAAGCAGTTACAAACGATTTGAAGACGTCAACCTAGAATTTGTGATGAGGAAGGAACACAATGGAAATCCACAGTAAGGAGCTAGATTAAGCAAGAACTCCCAAATCTCTTATAAACACAACGAGCAAATCAGCTGGCAACCAAAATAACTCACCGTGGTCACTAACTTCAGAGCCGATAGTTGAAGTTCACTGACACTTTCAACAAAAAAAGGAGCAACTCCCATTGAAGATGCATGAAGAACTGCCGTATCTGTGAGCACCTGGATATTGAGGAGTTCCGCTAATAAACTCACTAATTCATGTAGTTTATTGTATAAAGTGAGTATGCTCTTCTCTCGCACCTCTTTGGCATGAGCACGCTTCTTCCGTCCACTTCCCAGATCTGAAACATATATCACCAATTCAGTTTTTTGAACTCACTCCACTCTCTTAAACAAAGGCAGGACTGTCCGCGATATATTTAAAAAACATAACATTTCAGAATGTTTTCTACTCCGATCTTTAGGAGACAGAATGCCGTTATACCAAGAGATTCTTCTGTTACTTTATTACTGTTATCAGTGGCAAAGGTAAGGCTCAAACCTGGGACTCACTCACCTTTCTTGGGGTCCACCCTATACACAGGGTCAAAGGAAGGATATATTGTGTTCTGTAATTGGTATTTTGTAAATAAAACTATTCTGTCGATTACATCTTCTAGATAAATTCTTTTTGGCATGTTTGGTGACGTCATGATATACAATGAAGTCAGCGAAGCATCTGCTGCCCTCATCACTCTCTCCATCGTCAGTTCCATCCACATTTTGATCTCATCTTCATCATCATCCTGAAACGAGGAACAAGTTATCACGCATAAGAAGATTATTGTGAGAAGTTTGGAAAACTGAAGCCCCATTCACTAACATTTCAGTAGACAACCACCACGATTAAAAAATATGAATTTCTGAACTTTGTCCATCATGAGCTACTCTAAAAAACAGAACGCACTATGACAAAAGAACCACAAAACCAGCGCCATCGTTGAAGTTACATCAGCCCTGAATGGAAACACAAATTGTGGGCCATGCATCTATTACCAGATGATTTTTCTCAAAAACCGCTGAACAGTTTAATTTCATTTACATACTTTTCCTCCAACATAACATTTTCTGAATGAAAACTTGAATAATATCCTGTCATATAGATGGATAAATACAGTACATAATAATGACAATATAATGACCACAACATATTAACTGCATGTCACTTACTAGCATAAAATAGTTCTGTTAACAAGATAAATGACTGCAGTCAATCAAATAAAGACAAAACTTCGTTCTCGTCAGCCTCATAGTTACCGGTTTTTCTAATGGAAAAGATTAAAAAAAGATACTCACAGGATCTGCAATTGGTGACACTCTGGTCCCATCTCGGATATTTTTCTCTAGTATGTTGAGTAACCTGACTAATCTGTCTGGAGGTACCGATTCCATAGCACCAAGGGTTTTCAGTTTTGCAGCTTCGCTGCATAAATCTTGAAGCTGATACTTTGGAATCATCGCTTCCGCCGGAACGTCAGCTTCCTCATCTGTAATACACACCACAAAAAATGATGCACTGTGTATCTTGATTTACCAATAAGTTATTGAAACTTCATCTCACATGAAGCATGGTATACCTAAGTCAGCAGTAACGTCCACATCTTCTGTATTATCAAAGACCACTTCGATGGAACGGTTAAACCTTTGGTAAGTGTTAGTTTCCATTAGCTCTTCTATACTTAACTTCTCCAATACAGGAACTAGCTTTCGCTCCACTTTCCTTAATTTTGTTTTCGTAGTCGTGCATGACAAATCTAGAACAAAAACAATTTAATTGTGGGATATCCTATAGCACATAATCACTTTATGATAATGAAAATTGTTAGTCAGTGTTCTGGCACTACAGGACGTGCATCTTAAGTGGACGTCAAACCATAAACATCAATATGTCAATGGAGGAACGGTTTTAAACGTTGTGTTTTTTTTTTTTTGGGGGGGGGGGGTAGACAGACTATCTATATGTCCGTAGAAACGACAGACTTTACTAATGGTTAACAAGAAATAGAATTTTGTAAGAAAGCACATTTATTTACGGGGATACATTTTACAAAAAAAAAAAAAAGTAGAATTGCCAAGTCACACGTAAAACTGCCTTCATGATTTTGAAGCTCCCGGTTAAATATCATCACCAACAAAAACAAGTATTTACTTCGATGGAGATAAATCTTTCAGAATAAAATAACCGTTGAGCTAGTCGATAAATTCGTCTTTTATGGGGAAAAAAGTTTAATTTCTTTGTTTTATATTTTACTACTAACTTCCCATCCTAAACTTAAGACTGTCTACTGATCTCTTTACTTCATATTCTACAAATTAAACTGCTCCACAGAATTAGTATTTGTATTCGGTAATTACTTTCATCGTGACAAACCTTTCTGGCGTTGGAGTTCCCTTTCCTTCTCTCGTGCTTTGAAATATTTTGACTTGTTTTTTGGTTCTCCTTCACTTTCGGATTCAGAGTCAATTGTCTGGAGATGCTCATTTGCATTTCTTGATATTTTATGATTTGATGTAATTCCTAGTTTGCATGCAAGAGTTGGAGATTTCTCTGCAAATGCCCTAAGACTTCTTTGCATAAGAGCCTGATCCTGAAAAGAAGATTAATATCAATCAAAAGAAAAAACACATTCCTCTTTCTCACTACATAAGAAGTCACAGTTTCGTGTGAGTATCTAACATTCTACGAACAATATTTCAAAGCTGATAGAGCCTAAAATAAAACCCAAACTCTTCCTCTCTCATTATTACAAGATTAATTATGTAAATTGAAATATATACATTCAAAACAGGTTACAATAATTAAAAACCAGCTAAAACAAAACGTCCTAATTTAATAAATTGTACTTATTAGACACTTTTGAAAGCTAAACCAGAAAATCATGAGATCGGAGTATTGACCACCAGAAATGTGCATATCAAGTATATGTGACACAACAGACAATGTACGTAATATTATTATAATGAATCAATGACTGTCACAACCTTCAGAAAATTGTCAATCAATCATAGACTTTGTGATATCACAATTATATAAATTGTAAAAATGTAGAGACAAAAGATTCCTGAAACAGGTGTAACATATCCACGAAGAATAAAAGTTTACCTCTGCCGATAACCTGTTTAGCCGCACAACGGGTTCTCTTAATCTGGTGTCGGGGACAGAAACGCACTTCTTATCGCTTCCACAATACAGACTTGATTCTTCCTTTACGTGTGCAACAGGGGCTATGCACGCCTGCGCGGGTGACGACCCTAAAATTGAAAGACTTCATTAGAACCAACATGAAAATATACTCACTTCATGATCCGTAACTTCTGCACTGCGTGATACTTTTATTTTAAAGGTAATTTCTGATACGAAATTCTGAACGTCAGTACACGAATCTAAACAGATCCAGCTAACGCCAAAACTAGTTCATCCTTTCTGCTCACTGGTGAATTCGCTACATATTATGAAAACCCGTCTTCACTACTGTACAGACGACAACCACGTACAGCGAGAGACTTAAGTAAAATGTCGCGCTCACCTGGCAAGTGTGGTGTGAGATTTCTCGGAATACTGGATACAGACGTACTTTCTGACATAGGCCTTGATAACTGCTCTGGTAACCCTGCACCCAAACTATCACTTAAGTTATAATCCAAGTTATTCTCCTCCTTCATAATAAAGTCATCTGATGTCCTAGAACTTACACAGTCACTATTCCCACTATGACTACCCACTTCATTATTTACACTCTGTTGTCTGCTATTAAAAAAATCATTCATTTCACCACCATTGTGACTTTGTGTACTATCTGATGCATTCATCAACTTAGATTGTTCTGTTATCACTGATACTCTTTGCACCACGGCAGAGTCCAGCGCAACTCGAAGAGGTGGCGCCGGCACTGGAACCGTCGCCAACGACAGCGGTATCGACAGAGACGCCGGCACCGACGCCGAAACAGGCACGGGCAGAGGAGCAGCTGTGGATGCAGGCAGAGGCGGCACTGGCGGAGTCAGTGGCGGCGCACCACAGAGCAGTCTTGGACTCTTCGCCTGTTGGCTGACGCCGGGGCCGGGAACGGGATCCACGGAGTGCGGGAGGGGGAGA